GGTGCAGGGGATGGGGTGCAGGGGAAGGGGTGCAGGGGAAGGGGTGCAGGGGATGGCCCAAGCAGCTGCTCTCACTTGTGCCCCCCATGCAGTGAAGCTCACGGGGGGGGGGGTGGGGGAGAGTCCCACAGCCCCACAGGGATGCCAGGCAGGAGATGGGAGCTGCCTCCTCCAGCTCTCAGGGAGGACATGCCCAGCCTGACCCTTGCCAGCTGGAGAAGGGACATCCAGGTGGGGTGATGCACCCGCAGGAATGGGGACACGTGGTGGGAGGAGAAAGCAATGGGCTCCCCAGCCCATCCAGGCTCTTCCAGCTGAGTCAGCTCTGCTCCTTTTCCCACCCAAACCCCGAGCTGAAGCCAGGAGTGCCCTGGGCAGGGGGGGAGGAGGAGAAGCTGGGACCATCCCCAGGGACACCGACTCGCAGTCCTGGGAGCTGGAGGTTGGATGATCCAGGTGGACACGATGGAGGTGCCAGCCAGGACCTTCTCCCCGTGGTTCCTTTTGCCATCAGTTCCCAAGTGGATTGTCCCAAGCTTTTCTCTTCCTCTTCTTACCAGACTGTCCAACCTCCCCGTGCAGGTGGGGCCAGCTCCTGCTGCCCTGAAGACCTTCAGCTGTGCCAACCAAGGAAAACTCACCCAAAATTGCCTCTTTTTTTTTTTGCACCCAGATGAATCTTCACCCCTTCACCCCCTGGTGCCTCGGGTGGATGCAAAGACAGGTCCTCGCATCCCCCTGGGGCTGCTCCTCCTGATCTCAATGACCTTGGTCTCATTTTGCCTTCTTTTCCCCATTTTTCTTGCTGACACCACCTCAAAATCCAACCCCAGGTGGGTTATTATTGCTTGGTCAGGAGTGTCCCCGTGTTTTGAGCTGCTCTTTCTTACACCCAACAATGGAAGTTCTCAAGAACCTGCCCGGGGGGGGGGGGGTGTTCAACTATTCCAAGGGGCTGGAGAAGCCCCCTGGCTTGGCACAGCCTCCCCAACCCCCCCAACACCCCAGTCCCCACGGAAGACTTTTCTCTTGGAAATTCATTAAAAAAAAAATAGATAAAATCAATAACTGGACCAAAAATAAGACGAGAAACAAGAAGAACCTTAAACAACCACGGGGAAAGTTTTTTTCTGGAGAGTCTCTTAAAAAAACCACCACCACCAGGAAGGGAAAGTGGGAGGAAAAGAGATGGAAGCAGTTTGGTTTGGTTGGTTTTTTTTTCTCCCAGGCCCAGACACGGCTGTTCTCCTGGCTGGAGAAATGCATAGTTGGTAGTAAAACTTTTGGTGACAAAAAACCAGGAGGCCCTGGAGCTGGGATGGCCCTTGGGCCACTTGCTGCAGGGCCAGGGTAGCCAGGGCCATCTCTTCCCAACCCTGCAGGTCCCACCACCAGCTCTGGGATGTCTCCAGTGCTTCCACAAACCCCTCCTTGGCCCCGACGTGCTTGGGGCTGGGGATCAAACAAGTTCTCCTCTCAGATCATCTTCATGTTGAACTTCCTGGCTCCTCCTTGGCCAGCAGTGGTGGTGGGACCGTCCACCTTGCGGAAGGAATACTCCACCGAGAAGTTGTTCTTGTGCTGCCCCCGGCCCCGGCTCCAGACGAAGAGGAGGAGGAAGCAGAAGAGCACCACGCCCAGGAAGGTGATGCAGCCCATGGCCGTGGACACCAGGATGGTCTTGAGGTCCAGGGTGAACTTCAAGAAGACTTGGGTGTCGTTGCGGGAGGTGTCGTTGAAGTCGCCGAGGTACAAAGTCCGGTTGGGGTAGGAGGAGCCGTCGGGCAGTCGCCCCTGGACGGTCAGGGTGGCAAAGTAGGTGTCGTTGCCGCCCGCATTGCTGGCGATGCAGATGTAGGTGCCGCTGTCCTGCACCTGGGCGAAGCGGATCTCCAGGGTGCCCCCCGGCAGCCCTCTTGGGCTTCTGGCAGGTGAAGTACTCGAAAAGAACCGAGTCCGGGAAGTCCCTCAGGGCGTCGCCCTGGATTTCAGGGGGCGAGGAGCACACGGGCTGCTGCCCGTCGAAGTTGAGCGTCTTGCGGCGCTGCAGGATCCAGAGGAGGCGGCAGTCGCAGGCCAGGGGGTTCCTGTCCACTCGCACGGCCTCCCGGGGGTTGGCGGAGGG